ACTGTTTTATGTTGTGAGATTAATATTAACATCATATCTTGGGGATAAGAAATGGAAAGATTGTGGTTTAATAGCAGTGTTTGTGTATCAAGATGAAAAGGGTCAATTGTGCTGAATAGCGTCAGTATTCAACACCTGGGTGGATGATGCCTCAATTGAGGCATTACTTTCATTGGATTGGCCTGTGGGCACATATGTGGGGCATTTTCTTGATTGTTGAGTGATGTGGGAGGACTCAGCCCACTGTGGGTAGTGCCACTCTTGGGCAGGTGGTCTGGTGTTATATAAAAAAGCAGGTTGAGCACAGGCCAGGGGAATAAGCCGGTAACCAGCATTCCTCCATGGTCTGTGCTCCAGGTTCCTGCTCTGAGTTTCTACCTTGGATTCCCTTGATAATGCACTGTGATCTTTAAGCTCAATAAACCTTTTCCTCCCCAAGTTGGTTTTGGCCAGTGTTTTTATCACAGCAATAGAAAGTAACTAAGGGGATGGAGAGTTGGCTCAGTAGCTAAGAGCACTGACTGCTCTTGCAGAGGATCTAGGTTTGATTCCCAGCACCCACATGGTAGCAATAAGTATTTAATGAGTGATTTATAGTTGACTATTACTCTGTTTTTGAAGTGATTCTAGCCCTGGACAGTGAATATTGTTGAAAGGGAGAGCTGGGAATAGACCATTCTTCCCTCAATACCAGTTGAACAGGGAAAAACAACAACTTAGTCTTTCCCAAATACTACAAGCACTTCCCCAAACTGAGGGATATTTGGAGACACAAACTTGACTTAACAGACCTTAACATGTATGAGAGAATGCATGAAATAGGGCCGGTGGGGGGAGCTACAGGGTGGTGCAGATAAGAGAGGGTGTCTAAATATGACCAGGATGTATTTTATGAAATGCACAAAAATACAATAATTTTTTTTTAAAGTATCTTGGGGGCACCATGAAAAGACCAAAGCTATAAATTTCTGGTTTCAGAAAAGAACTCCATGTCAAGGGCATATTCTCAATAACATCAGATAAGAAAACTTCCTGAAAGTAGAAGAGAGGCCCGTCAAATTACAAGCACATGCAACATTAAACAGACATGGCCAAAAGACAAACTCTGAACATTATAATTAAAATACTAAATCTACAGAACAATGTATATCTAGAGTTACAAGAAAAATACCAAGTCACATAAAAAGGGCAGACCCATCATTGTAGCAGTTGATCTCTCAACAGAAACTGACAGCCAGAAGAGCATGGGATGGTGTACTTCAAGTTCTGAAAGGCCAGAACTTCCAACCCAGATCATTACCTCAGAAAAATGATCACAACTGATGGAGAAATAAAATGATCTCATGATAAAACCAAGCTAAAGGAATTTTTGATCATGACTACACCAACTCTACTGAGGATACGGGGAAGAAATTCTTCCAATTGAAGTCAATGACAAAAACATCAAAAGGCTACCAAGAAAAAATAAAAGAGCTACTACAGTAGTTTAGAAAAAGAGAATTAGGCTGGGCATGGTAGGGCATGCCTCTAATCCTAGCACTAATCCTAGCATACTGGAGGCAGAGGCAGGGGGATCTCTGTGAGATCAAGACCAGCCTGGTCTACATAGCAAGTTCCAGACCAGATTGGGGGGGAGGGGAAAGAGGGAGAGAGGGAGGGAGGGAGAGAGAGAGAGAGAGAGAGAGAGAGAGAGAGAGAGAATGAATTAGGATAATACGTTTAAAAACATGACAGGAATGAATGCAACTTTTAATAATAACGTTGAGCATTAATGGTCATAACTCCACAATCAAAACACAGAGACTAACAGACTAGATGGAAACCAGAATACAACTGAGCATGGTGACACAATTTCAGCACACAGGAGGCAGAGGCAAGCAGATCTTTGTGACTTCCAGGTCAGCATGTTCTACATAGCAAGTTTCAGGCCAGCCAGGGCTACATAGTGAGACCTTCTGTATTAAAAGAAAACAAAACGCCAGGCATGGTGGTGCATGCCTTTAATCCCCAGCACTTGGGAGGCAGAGGCAGGTGGATCTCTGTGAGATCAAGG